TGTCAGTTTTCCTGCTCCTCTGATGCTGCCTGGCCTGCTGTGTTCCTCCAGCTCCACACTGTGTTATCTCAGACTCCAGCATCGGCAGTTCTTACTATCTCTGAGCTAGGAAAAGGATGTGTTTGTACAGAAGATAGGGGGCAGGAGTAAACGATAGGTGGAAATACAACCCAAAGAGAGAGAAAAACAGTTGGACAGACAAAGGAGTGGATACCTATCAGCCTGGGGTAATAAAAACTAAGAATGGCTAACAATGGGTTGTGTGTGGTAGCAGCCTATATGATAACAAGGCCCAGTGTGTGTTGGGGTTTGGGAAAAGGACATGCGTAAAGGTGCTCAAGCTCTAAAATTGTTGAACTCAATATCAAGTCCAGAAGGCTGCAGGGTCCCCAAGCAGAAAGTAAGGTGCTGTTGTTCCAGCTTGTGCTAAACTTAGCTGGAGCACTGCAGCAAGAGACGGAGATGTTGACCAGGGAATGTGTTGAAGTAGCAGGCAACTGGAAGCTTGTGCTCTTTTTTTGCGGAAAGAATGTAGGTGTTCTGCGAAATGGTCACCCAGTCTACACTTTGTTTACCCAATGTAGAGGAGATCACATTCTAAGCAGCGAATGTAGTAGACTGGATTGAGTGAGGTGCAGGTAAAGCGCTGCTTCACCTGGAAGGTGTGTTTGGGCGCTTGGATACAGAGGAGGGAAGAAGTAAATGGACAAGTGTTACACCTTTGGTGGTTGCAGGGGAAGGTGCTGTGGAGGTGTGGTGTTGGGAGTGAAGGAGGACTAGATCAGGGTGTCATGGAGGGAACGGTCCCAGTGGAACGCCGACGTGGGAGGGGAAGGGAATATGTGTCTGGTGGTGGCATCTCACTGGGGGTGGCAGAAATGGCAGCTAATGATCCTCTGGTTGTGGATGCTGGTGGGATAGTAGGTCAGGATAAGGGGAACCCGATCGCTATTGTGGGAGGGAAGAGAAGGCAGAAGTGCGGAAGATGGTTCAGATCCGTCTGAGGGCCCAGACAACTTCAGTGCTGAGGAACCCTTGGTTGAGGATGAAGGTGGACATTTCAGATGCCCTCTTATTGAAGTTAGCATCAGAACAGATGCAACAGAGGTGAAGAAACTGGGAGAATGAAATAGAAAAAATGGCACTGGAGCAGACCGTTTGGCCCACCAAGACTGCGCTGACACATGATGCCTTTCTAAACTAAAAATCTTTTGCCTCTATGTGGTCCATATCTCTCTATTCCCTGTTTACTTTTGTATCTGTCAAGATGTCTCTTAAACATTGCTATTGTATCTGCCTCCATCACCTCTTATGGCAATGCATTCCAGGCACTTACTACCCTCTGCGTAAAAAAAACTCACCTCTCACATCTCCTTTAACCTACCCCCTTTTACCTTAAACCTGTGCCCCTGAGTAATTGACATTCCTACCCGGGTGGAGAAAAAGACTTCAACTGTCCATTCTCTCCATGCCTTTCATCATTTTGGAAACTTTTTATCAGGTTGCCCCCTCATCCTCCAGTGTTCAAATGAAAACAAACCTATCTCTCCTCATAGCTAATACCCTCCAAACCAGGCAACATCCTGGTAAACCGTTTTCTGTATCCTCTCCAAAGCCTCCACGTCCTTCTGGTAGTGAGGTGACCAGAACTGAACTCAATATTCCAAAGATAGTAGGAACTGCAGATGCTGGAGAATCTGAGACAACAAGGTGCAGAGCTGGATGAACACAGCAGGCCAAGCAGCATCATAGGAGCAGAAAGGCTGACGTTTCAGGCCTAGACCCTTCATCAGAAATGGGGGAGGGGAAGGGGTTTCTGAAATAAATAGGGGGAGAGTGGGAGGCGGATAGAAGAGAGGATAGGTGGAGAGGAAACAGACAGGTCGAAGAGGCGGGGATGGAGCCAGTAAAGGTGAGTGTAGGTGGGGAGTTAGGGAGGGGATAGGTCAGTCCAGGGAGGACGGACAGGTCAAGGGGGCGGGATGAGGTTAGTAGGTAGGAGATGGGGGTGCAGCTTGAGGTGGGAGGGGCTTCAAAATCTCCCCTCCCCCTACCGCATCCCAAAACCAGTCCAGTTCGTCCCCGCCTCCCTAACCTGTTCTTCCTCCCACCTATCCCCCCCTCCCACCTTAAGCCCACAAATAGCAGGACTTGCCTGGATGAATGTGGCTCCAACAACACTTGAGAAGCATGACACCATCCAATGCGTCAACTGTTTGGCACCCAACTACCACTTAACCAGGTCGTCTCCTGCCTGGGGCTGAGCAGGGGCCTGGTCTCTGGCAGAGCGAGTGGCAGTGGGCCATTCTGTCCTCCGTCAGCTACGGAACTGTCGCAGTGAGGTGCTCATCAGATTGTATTGCCAAAGTTCTCATGTCTGATTTTCCCCTCCCCCAACCATCTTCTCCCCCCCACCAGTATCTAGGCTGTTTGGTGAGGGGGAGGTGTAGGAGGCAGCCTTGCAAATGCTTCCAATGAGGCCTCAGTACTCTCACCCTGGAAAGTGGAGGAAGTGGCTACAGGCAGAGATGGCTGTTTCCATGGCAAGGTCATGGACATCTTGCTGGTATCTGCAAGATACAAGAGAAAGACGGCATCATGGTCACTGGTTGCTGGTGGTGTGCAGTGAATAACAGTAACAGGGTGTTAATGTGAAAGTTGCAGTGAAATGAAGAGCAAGATTTACTCTGTTGGTGGGGCATGGATGTTATGGGGTCCCCTACAGGAGCGCTCCCAGTCTTCTCCTGCGAGGACAGGCTTCGCCCGTCCAAATAGGTGAGGAGCCTAATGCTGGGCACCTGATCACCCACCTTCTCCTGGAGTGAACTAAAGGGAAGGATTGAGTGAGAGGAGAGTGGGTGCCATGGCTGTTAGTGCTGGTGAAGGTGGCTGAAAGTTTGCGAGATATTTCGAAGGAGGGCAGGCGTAATCAGCACAGAGTCTGTGATGGGTTAGTGGTGTGGAAAGGTGGGTGTTTGACAGCGAGAGAGGGAAGATGTTACAGGTTACACTGAGAGTGACAGAGCATGAAACCTGGTGGAGTTGGGTTCATTGGCAGAGAAAGAGAGTGAGTGTGAGGGGGAAGAGGATACTCTTGTCTGTACCAATCTGTTCACCAGGACCTCTAGGTCCCTGATGGAGAATCATGACACCATTTTCCAACATATTCTGATAGAATGACCTCCATTGAGCAGGGCAGCTTTGGGACATCAGTGTTCGTCCAAGGGCACAGCGGCCTTTTGAAGATGGCGTGGGCCGAGGATGCTGGTCTGTTGCTGGATATCCAGTGCATGGGAAAATGGGGCCTGAATTGTGTGAGGGGAACATTGTAGGGCGGTGTAGGTAATTATTTGAGTGGGTTTGGTAAGATGTGGCATGAAATCTTGCTTAGGCCGCGCAGTGAGAAACCCTGCAAAAAATTTGCTTCAAACTGATGTTTGGCCGAAACAAAATCGTCTGATTCAGCCCAATGTTTTGAGTCAAGTATGACTTTCTGAGAACTGAAGTGAAATGTTAGTTCTGTTTCACTCTGCAAAGCTGCTGCAAGACCTGAGAATAAGTCCAAATGTTCCCCTCCCAGTAATATAAGATCCCGACTTTGAAATCTATCACTATTTCATCAACTTGGTGATAAAATTTGAGAGTGCTTGACTCAGCAGCACTGTGGGTGTATCTTCAAACTGTATGTGCATTGATGGCTGGATTGGATGGTTTCATAGTATATTGTCATCCTGATTCAGAAATCTTCAGGTCCAAATTTCTCACGTGGGCAAATACAGGAGAACTTGTGTACATGTATCTTGTTAGTATTTACTGCCTCAAAATAAAGGAGAAGGAAAGCAGGTTTGCTATACTTGCCTTTATTGGTCAGTGCATTGAGTATCAGTTAGGAGGTCATGTTGTGGCTATACAGGATATTGGTTAGGCCACTTTTGGAATACTGCATTCAATTCTGGTCTCCCTGCTATAGGAAGGATGTTGTGAAACTTGAGAGGGTTCAGAAAATATTTCCAAGGATGTTGCCGGGGCTGGAGGGTTTGAGCTGCAGGGAGAGGTTGAATTGGCTGGGGCTATTTTCCCTGGACTGTCAGAGGTTGAAGGGTGACCTTATCGAGGTTTATAAAATCATGAGGGGAATGGATAGGGTGAATAGCCAAGGTCTTTTTCCCAGGGTAGGGGGGGTGCGGGATCCAAATGTAGAGGCATAGGTTTAAGGTGAGAGGGGAAAGCTAAAAAAGGGACCAGACGGGTAACTTTTTCATGCAGAGAGTGGTGTGTGTATACGAATGAGCTGCCAGAGAAAGTGGTAGAATCTGGTACAATTGCAACATCTAAAAGACATCTGGATGAGTGCATGAATAGGAAGGGTTTAGAGGGATATGGGCCAAATGCTGGTAAACGGGACTAGATTAATTTAGGATATCTGGTTGGCATTGGGCGAGTTGGATGGAAGGGTCTGTTTCCATGCTGCACATTTCTATAACCCTAGCAGAAAAAAATGTAATTACTCTGATCAATGATAAGCAGATTAATACATCCTTATTGTGGTGCTTTTTTTCTGTTTTGTAGGTAAAAAGGGATTTGCTGGTTGGGAAGGGGGTATCCGTGTTCCTGGGATATTCAAGTGGCCAGGGCTATTGCCTTCCAACAAGAAAATTGATGAACCTACCAGCCTTATGGACATTTATCCAACTGTTGTCAGCTTAGCTGGTGCGTCACTGCCACAGGATAGGTAAAGAATGTTGAATGCATGAGACTGTTATTACAATTGTGTGTTCTACCACTTAGAAGACCTAGCTTTCTTGGTCACGGTCACACTTATCAACTTTTCAATTCTGAAATCCCTTTGATGACATGAAAAGTGACCAGGGTAGGGGAATCTAAAACTAGAGGACATAGGTTTAAGGTGAGGGGGAGAGATTTAAAAAGGATGTAAGTGACAACCTTTTCATGCATAGGGTGGTTCGTGTATGGAATGAGCTGCCAGAGGAAGTGGAGGAGGCTGGTACAATTATAACATTTAAAAGGCATCTGGATGGGTACATGGATAGGAAGAGTTTAGAGGGATATTGGTCAAATGCTGGCATATGGGACTAGATTAATTTAGGGTTTTTGGTCGGCATGGACGAGTTGGACCAAGGGACTGTTTCTGTGTTGTACTTCTCTATGACACTAAGTTTCTAACAGGTGTATCATGCTAACTTGTTATACAGTAACTCTCACTGGCATAGTTCTTGGTAGCGTTGAAGTTTGAGATTTGCAACTGCTCAGCCTGTATTGCAGGAAAGGTCCAAATGCCTCAGGCAAAATTTTTTAAAAGAAATTAATTCAGTGGATGTGGGTGAGGATGGTTAAACATTTATTGCTCATCTCTAAATTCCCAGAGTTGTGGTGGCACATGTAGGCCATATTGAGTAAGGATAGCAGTCACCTTCCTCAAAGGACATTAGTGAACCAAATTGGTTTTACTGACAATCAACAACGGTTTCATTTAGACCCTTAATTCCCCATTTCTTTTTTATTCAATTCAAATTCTACCATTGGCCATAGCAGGATTTGAACTCAGATCCAATCGAACATTACCCAGGTCTCTGGATTAAAAGCCTGGTAACAATACCACTATGCCATTGCCTACCCAGAGCAGGATTGCAGTTGCCTTCCTGGAGGCTAACACAAAACAATTAGCATTGGTGCTTTGCAATGGAGCTCTTGATGTATAGTCATGTTTTAACAAAGGAATAGAGGAAATAGGGCAAGAGAAGACTATTTGGTCCTTCGAGTGTGCTCTAGCATTCAACTAGACCATTCCCTGATCTTCCATCCCACTGCCACTTGGCTGCACTATTCCCCTGTGTGTTTATATCTTTAACATGGAGAAAGTGATTGATCTCTGTCTTGAATATACTCAATGGCTGAGTCTCCACAGCCCTCTGAGGTAGAGAATTGTAAAGATTTACTGCTCTCTGAGTGAAGAAATTCCTCCTTATCACAGTTCTGACAGCTTATTCTGAGACTGTGCCCCGGGTTCTCAATCTCCCTCCCAAGTCCAGGGAAACATTCATCCCCCAATGATCACGTCATGCCCTTTAAGAATTTGTATGCTTATGATTATTCCATTTTAAAATGATTGTCTTTTGGATTGAATTTCCCCTAATAATAAAAAAGGAATTCAGTTACAATGCATTGTAGCTTTTTGGTTCAATTTGTAAGGAGAATTGTCAAAAGAATTGGCTTGAAAGTATTTGGGAAGAGGAGGGTGAAGATTTACATGGATATGTGCCCAGGCATTTGAAAATAACCTTAGCAGAGGGCATGATACATATTTCTGGGGACTTTATGCATTCTGAACAGCTATAAACTTCTCTTGCGTTTACTGTGGAAACAGATCATAATTACTGACACTCTGCTTCCGTAAAAGTGATGTGATTTAAGTGGATAAGGAATGATTTCATTTTCTGTATTGAAATGCTGTGTTATTTGTACCTTGCCAGGGTAATAGATGGACGAGACCTGATGCCGCTGTTGAAGGGGGATGTACAGTGCTCGGAACATGAGTTTCTCTTCCATTACTGTGGAGCTGCTTTGAACGCAGTACGATGGCATCCAAAAGGCAGTAAGTGTTCAATATCTGGAAGCTGGTTCAATGAAGAAATAGAACCATGCAATCAGCCTGTGCTGATGCCTGTAGGGGGAGTCAGTGGCCCTAAATTCTATCCACTAATGAAACCAGTCATGGTGTTATTGGCGGAGACAGTAAGAGCTGCCAATGCTGGAGTCAGAGATAACACAGTGTGGAGCTGGAGGA